TAAATACCTCGGCCTCCCTCTCCTATTTACTACCGCAAAACTTTTTTTTTTTTTTTTCCCCTGCCAAATAATTGCATTCAGATCCCACTACATGTGGGGAGGAACCTGAGGCATCTTGCTCCGATGAAAATTGACCACTCATTCCTAATCCTTTCCCTCCTCATGGCTTTGCCAGTTTTTTGATTCCTCCCATTTTCCTCCATGACTGCTTGCCTTTAGTAGCTTCTTGTGTGGGACCTTGTCAAAGGCCTTTGGAAATCTCTGAATTATTATGTGAGCTTGTACTACTCTACTGGTACATTGAAAGTACCACTGATAATGTGAGAGTTACACTGATGATGAGAGAGGATCTTCTTGCAAAACCCATGCTGGCTAGGTCTTCTCCTAGTTTGGTCTTCTAGTAGTGGGCCATTTTTAATGGTTTCATCCAGTTTCCTCGATGCTGGCAGACCTTTGGGAGACTACAGGCTGCAACTCCAGCCCCAGGAGAAGCCACTAGACCTGGACCAAGAAGATAGCTTTGAAAACTGAACCTTTGCCTTGTTGTAACCTCTGTTTCCCCCCCTGAAATTCAAGTGGTTCCCTTGAACTTCTGCTTGCTATAAGGCTAGGCTGTGGGAACTTTCCTGCATTCCTCCACTGGTCTGAGCAGACTCTCCTCTGCTTAGAGAGTAGTACCAGAGTGGAGCAGAGAAACCAGGTTTGAACAGGGAGATACTTATCTAAGTGCTGATCTGCGGTACTGTATCCAGCCACAGGATGGCATAATTGTTGCACATTCACACAGCTGCCCCTGCAGCAGCATGGTCCCAGGGGAAGACTAGAGAAGACTACCTTTTTAGTTTAGCTCCACAGGGAAGGTCTCATGGAATGAGACAATCCAGTGGAGACAGCTGCTGAAGGGATTGTATCATCTGCCGTTTGCCTGCCTGGCCTTGATGCTTCACTTGCTGTGGTCTGAATCCAGCTCCCAGCTGCAGCTTGTTCTAGTTCTGCCTTCTGGGCTACTTTAAAGGAAGAAAGCCACCTTCATGTAGCTTTTAGTCAGGGAGGCATGGCTCATGGGACTGGGATGGACTATGGCAGTTCCCCATATTAGATCTGGTTCAAAAGCACCCCTGGAGAGAGAGAAGCAAAACTACTTGGTGACAGCTGTTCTGTTCCCACAGACTACTGAGTTTTTAGGATCTCAGTCCAGTGAGCCATCTACCTTGGACCCACCACAGTAGGCTGTCTCAGCAGAGTACGGGACAGGAAGGCCTAGAGAAAAATTGCTCTGGGAATTTTTCTCTGCTACCTGTGTGATACAGAGAGGATGTCTGTCCATAGGTCTAGCAATGCCAGCAGTTCCTTTTCCTTAGAAGTTGTGGTCCTTGCATGGAGGACATAAAAATGGCTCAAGGGGAACTAGTCCTTGGGGAAAGCTTCTAACCACTGTGGGATTAACCTATGGGGAAATGTGGCTAAGCTAATACAAAGGCACCACCTCATAGGGTATGCTGCTTTCTGTGTCTGGGGGAGGAAAAGGGCACATGGGCACTGAGAGAGGATTGCTGCAAACTAAGTTCTCGGCACTAGGGAGGGGGTTAGTATACCCTGGCTAGGGCCACCGTGCTTGCTGTATCCTATCCCATCCCTTTCATGCCCCTTACTAGCAGGAAGCAGGAGCTGGTTCCATGCCAGCTAGAGGTTTGCTCAGGGCTGGACTGTCTCCAGCCAAGGGAGCAGGCACATGGTGTTGGGGCAGGCAGCTGGGCAAAAAATAATGCTGTGAATAGATGCCAAAAGGGAAATCCAAATCACAGCATTTAACAGGAGGTATGAAAAGGGACAAGAGTGTAAGGGAAGAGTTCCTCCCCACTAGTGTTCAGTGGTACCAGTTCTCCCATGCAGCAGTAGTTCTTTATTCATGGATGAAAGCATTATCTCAAGCTAAGGGATTGCTCATCTGACCTACCTCCCTTCCAGACACTTCTCCAAACTTTGTGCTGGGACCTGGTACTGGTAAGGAGCCAGAAACACATGTGTGAGGGTGGTGACACTATGGAGCCTGGGGCCAGGTTGGGATCCTCCTGTCAGCCTGGGTTACGGGGCAAGACATGGTGCTGTCTCAGAGGGGAGGTTTTCTCCTGACTAGTGGCAGCTGACTGTGAAGCTTTGTGAGGGTAGGGTTTTACAGGTATACTTGAAGCCATATTGTAGCTATTATTTCAATTCTGCTTGATCTTTTTATGTTCTTGGAAGCCTTGGTGTTCCACAGAGCCCCTCCCCACTTAGCCACTGTAGAGGGTACCCAGGGCCACCCCACTTCCCAGAGTACCTCCTGCAATTCCTGCCTTCCTCCCACACAAGTCGGGCAGAGGGAAGAAAGGGACAAGAGCTTTGACAGTAGGTATGCCCTTAAGAGGGGGTACTTTTTCCCCACCTCTTTTTTTAAATTCTCCCTCCCATCTTCAATGCTGGTTCTGTGGCAAGAGGGGCCTGTGGAACACACTGAACTGTCCAACTGGAAAACTATTTGCAAATCATCCTTTTTTAAAAGGATATGTAATATATATTTTAAAATAAAAGGTATGCAGTTCCAGTCTTCCTATGAGTGTGTGGTACCTGAAGGTTTTCTTGCAGTTCTCATCCATGGCTGGGCACTCAGCTTATCTTGGGGAGGGCTGGTAAGGTGGACTATTGGAGGCAGTACTGGGTCTCAGTTGGGCTGGGTTCAGTGCCTAGTTGTGCCTCCTCTTCTGTGATCTTGGACAAATCGCATCATTTCTCTCTTTCACTCTCTTTAAATGGGGATAATGATCTTTCCCAGCCTTCTGGGGTGCCAAGAGATGAAATCCATAAATGGCCATGCACTGTGCCTAAAAAGGCCTAAGGGTATCCCATTGATCAAAGCTGCAGCAGGCTGGCTAATCCCAGGCCTCCTGCTTGTGGATCAGTGATGCACAGCTGCTGTTCCCTATGCTTGTTGCCAGGGCTGGATCACAGTCACTTCCCGTGTGCTTCCCCTAGCTTGCTGATGGAAGGATGCAAGAGGCACAGGCCTTTTCACACAGTGCTGCAGCCACATACAAAGTCCTACCTAGGGACTCACTGCTGAATTAACCTTTTCCCTTGTGAGCACAGGGAGGAGCTTTCCCACTTTTAATTATGGGAGTGGAACTAGGACAGCAAGGGAGTGGAGGCCCAGTTCAGAGATGGCCTGTCTCCCCTCATCCCTGTGAGAACTGCTGCAGTTCTCCCCCTCTGAGCAGAACAACAGTACCTTCCCGAAAGACATGGCACTTTGCTCCAGACATAGACTCCTGTGTCTTCCACCTGGAAGCAAGAATCTGTGAGTCATTGCACCCAAAAGCATCTCTTTCTTGTTGAGCCTCAGAAACCACACCACCCTTAAGTCTGCAGTTGGAAATAACCAGGCACTGCCATCCCTCACCAGGTAATAGGGAAACCCAGACTGGCTGGCAATGCCAGAAAAGAATCCAATGCAAGCTTTGAGAAGCTGAGTCCAGCCAACATGGAGGAAGTTGCTGCACACCCCAAGCACCCAATGCTAGGAGTGTGAGGGTGGAGAGCCCTTCTGCTCAGTCCAGAGGCTTGCTTTCCAGGCAATCTGTCCCCAAAATTCAAATAGGCTAGGGCGAGTACAGGCTGGGGAGCTCTCACTGCTGCAGCTCAGACTTTCTCCTCTTCCACCTCCAGGGCTTGGTTTTCATAAGCTTCTGATGGCAGCATCTTTCTCCCTGGGGACCATGCTATAGGTTGCCCTTGTTCTTGCAGTTCTTGTTCTGGGGACTCTTGGTCTCCTACCAGCTGGTGATCATTTCTGAGGGGCCTGGTAGCCAAACTGCAGCAGTGTCTGTTCCCTGTCCCATTCAGGAAGCTTTCGATGGCCGAGGCACAGTCCAACCTGTCCATGGCCACCATGATGTTGTAGAGATCCTTCAGGCTCCCATTCTGCTCTTCAAAGATCTCCAGGGTAGCAGCTGCCGGTCTTTGCTGGCATGAGAAATACCTGCCAGGCAGAACATGGGTCAGTTGCCCAGCCACCCAGGCTTCCCCACACAGCCTTTAGTAACACCGAGACAATGAAACACAATGGAGGGGACAGGAATTGGACCTCAGTTCTGATCCAGGCTCTCCCACTGTCTCAAGCCCACTGTCTTGGGCAAGTCACTTCCCCCCGACTCAGTTTTCCCATTTGTTAAAGGGACTTGACACCACTCATCTGCTCCTGTACAGAGGTGAGGTCTCTGCAAATGCTAGCTGTTACTACTCATCAGGCAAAAGGCTTAAACTAAGATGGAGAGAGACTGGCCCCTAGTCAGTTTTTTCCTCCATGGCACTTTGACTGCAAGTGTAGACCTTTCCTTAGCAGAATCAGAGCAGGAAGGTAAATAGTTGTCTGTATGTGTGGCTAAATTTGCAGGCTAAATGGGAACCTGGGGCATGAGTCAGTCTGCTTTGAGTGGCAGGCTGCTGGACCTGCTCCCTGGAAACCAAATTCTTCCCTCCTGCTTCTGGTACTGGAGTGAGGAGTAGATCATTTCCCCTGAAAAACATCCAAGTCAGAGCTCACTGATATGTCTACAGCCCAGGCAGCCCACCAAGCTGACAGATCATCAGGTGGACCTGATGATCTTGTGAGGTCCCTTCTGGCCCCTAATATGTATGAATAAGAAGAATGGAAGGGCCAGGGGATAGATCTGATGAGAGGATAATTATTTAACTGAGGATCCTTGCAAAATCCCCTCCTGGTTTTCCTCATGCAAGCTTCTCACGTCTTCTGAGAAGGCTGCCATGCTTATGGCTAACACATGAGGTTCCCCTTCCTGACCTTCCAAAGTATATCTTAGTCCAGAGTCCCAGCTATTTGGTTAACTGTCCCAGGAAGCCCAAATAGGGCAGCAAACAGACCGAACCTTTCAAAGCAGACTAGGGGATTTAGGCAGATTCATTAAAGTTAATTAATTGGAGATCTGTCAGGCCTTGAGCTCTTAACCATAACTTTTGCTGCAAAAAGTAGATTCACTCTTTAACCTTGCACTCAGCCTGATGCAGTAGCTCATCAAGTTACTGGGCAGCACTGATACCAGTTTCCTAATGTTCAGGATTGTCTGGAGAAAGAGTTAATTGAAAACTGGCCCAGGCACGCATGCGCATACACACACCCCTACATTTCTAGGAAGGGGCACCATTTCCAAACTTCAGTCTGATCTTTAGAAGTGCAGAGCAGCCCCTGACTCTGGTTGGATTCTCACCAAGATGAGGTCTAAATCAGTCCATGCATGTCCCTGTCATTCCAGGCCTATGGAGTGGTCAGCCAGACGACTATATTATGGTAGATTATACCCAAGTGCCTCTTTACCTTAGATATTTGTACTGAATGCCTTTGTGCCTTGACTCAGACCTCTGCCAAAACTGTCTCAAGGAGCTAGAGCAAGACCCCATTCCATTGCAATGGGTAGCCTCTTTCTTTCTTGCTCAAGCTCCCCCCTCATATTTATTACATGGGTCCCAATCAACAGTCCTAGCCCCCTCCACCCCCTAGCTTTCAATGGCTGTATAAGGAGCTGCAGGTACTCAGCACAATCGTAAATATGGGCCATACCAATGATTCAAGCATGGAATAAGGCTGACCTATGTGCTCTAGGACCAGCCTCAGATTTCATGCACTGTCCTCTAGGACTCCTGATGTTTCAGAGTGGCGTGCAGCAGGGGTGGGTGTAAGACAGCTACATTCAAGCATGTTGCATCACCGTCACCTACCTGACCTGCCCCAAAGCCTGGGGGCCCTTATCTCTGATGCAGCCATACCTCCTTGGCCAAAAACAAATCAAGAAAGGAAATTGCAGGTGAAAACTAATTAGCAAGGAACATGCTGTCCAGCCATAAAGCACTTGAGGGAATGAAAGGGCTTGACTTATTTTTATCAGGATTGTTATTCTGATCAGGATCATTTCCAGTATGCACAAAGAGGAGAAGCATTACGTAGCCAGCAGCAATTATGTATTTACAGCAGGGTCAGCAACATTTTTGGCTGGAGTGCCAAGATCACCAACCTCCACTCACACCTTAACTTGGCGATCCAGAGATGGGGGAGCCACAAGAGCCCCAATCCTTGTTGCTGGCAGCAGCTGCGTGCATGCGCCTGGGCAGACAGTGGGGAAGGAGCCAGAGTTGCCCTGCTCCAGACCCCACAGCTGCCACAGCCACAGAACTGGTGCCAGGACTATGGAGCCCCATGCAGCCTCCCTGGGCTCTGGACAGCTGCTGGGAGAAGCTGCCCAGAGTCTGGGCTGGTTTTGGTTTGCCAAGGAAAATGGCCTCGCATTGCCGATCCCCAGTTTAGAACATACACGAGCGGGCTGCTCCTCGCCGGTTCTATCCCTCCATCTCTCATTTCTGTCCAAGACTGCCAGGAAGACAACACGATAATACACGACACAACTTCAGGCTTCAGCCAAATCCAGCAATGCTCTCAGCGAGGCACAGTGGCATTTCTCCCATTCCCTCTTCCCCACCCCACACCCTTCTCTTTTAGCTTGAGAGGAGACTTGTAAGTACCTGATTTTCATACCACACAGGCCCAACCTGGAGGCCAGCTTGCGCCAGTCGTTCCCACTGATGCTGTTTGGCTCCAGCAACATCTGCAACTGCTCAAAGAGTTCCCGGGGCATTCTGGAAGAGGGGGGACACCAGTATTACTCAGTCCAAACTGGCTACTGATGTTCTAAGGGACATGGCGGCCCTGCTGCACAGTGCTCTGCCTCTTCTGCAACCCACCCTCTGCCTGTATAGCTCTGGTTTGCCAAGGACTTATCAGCCACCACACTGCTTTCAGGCAGAAGGGGTGCATGCACTCAGTCTACTACCTGGACAAAAGGGATGTGGGCCATTGCCTCGGAGATGGAAGATACACTGCCTGCCATAATCAATAGAAATCACTTCATACATCGGTTATCTGCATGGCACTGTAGTGCAGGTTTCTGCTAGTCTGAATTCCTGGGATTTAGGACTTCTGCTGGAGTTTACCCCCCAGCTGTGCCAGTCACCTTGGTAAAGGGAATGAACAAATAGGCAGGCAGCATGGACAGCTCTCCCAGTTCCTCTAATCCCAGGGCACAGTGTAGGAGCCCTCACTAAGGAAGCTCTGTGCAAGAGCTGCTGTGGGGAGCCCTCCAGGAGAGCTAGCTGGAAGAAGCTCACTACTGCAGTACCTGCCACCTGAGGAGCAGGGCAGGAAGACCTTGTGAGATGAGACTACCTCCCACCTACAGCTAGAAGCCCATTACAAGCCACCTCTCTTTAACAGACCCACCACTCACCTGTTGCAAAGAGGGGAAGAGAAGATTCGGGTCATCTGTGACCTGTTTTCTGGGGCTTGAAATCTCAAGATTTCCATGTACTTCTTCTCCAGGCCCTGCAGGCAGAGGAGAGATACAGGCAGAGTAAGAGTCATTTCCCCATTACACCACGCCCTCAAGGAACAGCCTTCATAGGGCTGGGTTGCACCTTGCTGCACAACCCCTGGTACTGGCTCAATGGAGAGCCTGATTCTGAACTTAAGCAGGTGTAAATAAGGACTGACTGCTGCAGTCAGAAATGTTACAGAGACAAGAAGATCCCAGGGGGTTCATAGCCAGAAGACCAAGCCAGTATGCAGTTGGGAGGGGGTGTCAGACCAATTTGGCAGCATCCAATTAGAGAGTCAAGGCTAGAAACAAGGGAATATGAGCATTTGGGTGTGTGGTTGTACTTGTTGATACCATCTGCACCCATGCAAGAAAAGGACCCATCCCTCACTATTACGCACCCAGAGAAGGGGGACAGCTGGTGTGAACTGCCAGAGCTCCATTGCCTTAGGAAGGGGCATGCTAATTTAGTCCAGCTGTAAGCCTGGGCCCCTGGAGCTATCAGCTAATGCTCTTTACCTGTGCTAGCTGCAGGTCTGTCCTCCCCCTAACAGAACCCTTTGTAGCAAGCCTTTGTGCTGTTCTAGATAGGGAGTAAGGCTTAATTGCTCAGACAGGTGGAGAGCTCAGCATTTCTGCATACTTTTTCAGGATTAAGGTAGCCATTGGGTCTGGGAAAGAGCTACCTTCTCCCTAAGAGCAGTCTGTGTTAGGGTGGGTGAATGGCCTAGTCAGCTCATGGGCTGGGCAAGAGGAGGCAGCTTCCCTGCTCTGTCTGAAAATCCATGCTGACTGGAGGTACATTATTAACCCACAACCTGTCCTCTCTCATCCCTCAATATCCACGTGGGCTTTATGGTTTGGGAGTCTTGAAAGATGGGGGGTGCCTGGTTTTATTTGCTACCCCAGGACCCCGTGAGCATAACCGAGGCTATGTATAACATGTGACAAGGGTGAAACTGCCTTGCCAGAAGGTGGAACAAACTCCATCACCCTCCATGTTAGTGATGAATCCTTTTTCTGCAGCAAGTGGAAAAGACCTCTCTCTTAGTGGAGCTCATGCAGGCTCCCCTTACAGGAAGCAGTCAGCTTCCCCAACTTCACTGGAGTTGTGCAGGTGATAAGGGGGTCACAGCTGTGGAGGAAGCTATGGGATCTTGCTGAATTCAGTATCCCTTGGTTCCCACCTTCTATCAATACCTTGATCACACAGTGGCCAAACTGGTACTTGGGAATCATTGCAGTGAAACCCATGTGAGAGCCGAGTGTATTCCCCATCCCACTATCTCATCCTGAGTGGCTGATTTAGCTGACACATACAGTCTATACACAAACACTTAATCT